AACCCCACCCATTCCCAGGCCCTTTCATCCCATTGCTTTTTGAATGACTCAAAAGAAAAAGGTCCTTATGGATCCATATGCATCTCCCTCCTCCGAGTTTTGCCCTCTCGCACCTCTGAAGGATGAGAGTTGAAGTCACGGTCAGGAGCTCTAAACGAAGCTGTCATTTCTGCATTTGCTGCAGTCACAAGACCTGCTTTTGAGCAGCGTTTAGGGCAAGGTCAGATGATGTACAGCAGAGGCATGACGCTGCTCCATGCCAACAGTGCTTTCCACACACAAACACTTTGCTCAACATATTTCTTAAAGTTCAAGAACAAGTCATGAGCACACTCGTATCTGATTTTGAACTAACCAGCTCACTTACAGCTCCTTGAATCTGAACAAGCCAGTTTGTCAATGAAACTGCCCAAAATATTTAACCGATAAAGAAATTGATCAAGCTCATGCAATTCGAAGCGTGCAATCTAAATACTCAAATGTTTCCTAATTTATCTTTCAGGGCTGACTTTACAGTCGAGTGAAGGTTGATTCCGAACCGTAACTGAACGTGTTTGGCTAGAGTTGTTCCCTCTTGCTGCTAATGTTGCCGTCAAATCCCGGGGAAAGCCCTCAGACTGTATGTCTAATCATGCCCTATTTGAACTGTTGTCTTCATGTCAAACAAAGGCCAACTACAGAACAGAAGAAGAATAAAGAAAAGCTGGAGAGTGAATTAGTCTGAGGCCGAGTTCCTGGTGCACTAACAGACTGGAGATCAATATTTACAGACACTCCCCGGCTTTAGACAGCATTCATGTCAGAAAGAACAAACAGTCCTCTCTGAAAAAGGTAATGTCCAACCCACACACACCACATATCTACCCAGACAAAAGTCTACACTCTCCAACTACACAGACACACTCTGGGCTGAGACAAAAGCACAGGTAAAGGCTGACAAAAAGTGACTATGGATCACATATGCGCACACACACACACACACACACACACACACACACACACACACACACACACACACACACACACACACACACACACACACACACACACACACACACACACACACACACACACACACACACACACACACCAACCACTGTCTACATTCACCCTGCAATTATCTCCTCACAGACATAATTCTGGCAGTTAAATGGCCGGCTAAAAGCATGTGTACACAAACAGTGCCTGACAAAATAGCTTGTGCACACCATTTATCCATCAGCTCTGTCAAACACCTGATAGATAGCCATCGCCAAGTTTGAAAGGGAGCGACTCAATCTGACCTTACAGGTGTGCTCGACTACCAGGTGCATGCTTGCAGACACGAGCAGAATTACATGTTAGGCCAATATCCACAGACAGCTGATGGGAATTGACTTCTTAATCAATTTTATTCTAAAGAATTTATTTAAATTTCCTGCAAAATTATGTTATTCTGTGCATATTTAGTGTTAAAAATACATTGAAGAGCAATACTATCTTGCATGATATTTTGAGTTGAGTAGAATACAAAACTGGAGAAATATCCAGTAGAAGTTGGGAAAAAATACCTCCTTTTCACACAATCTCCGATCTGCTCACGAGGAAGAAACCAGTCATGTTACCCTGGCTAAAGTGAATAAATGTAGCTGTAAATGGCTGGGTGAGAGCGGTAACTTGAGCCAGTGTGAAAGGACTCATTGTTGCTTTGGGTTAATTAGGCGTGACAAGCGAGGCGTGAACAGATTCCCATCATTAGGCTCCCTAAAAAGCCCATTAGAATCAATGGTCCACGCTCCGGTCAGACAGTCTGTCTAGCAGCCAGCCAGCCTCCTGCCCCTTCAGCAGGACACTGGATATAGTTACAGCCATCCAGCCACAGCGAACTCAAACAAGGCAACTCTATAGCTGCGGCTCTAACACCCCTGATAATGCAATTGACGCCATGTTCAAGGGAAAAGGGGAGGATGATGGGAGAGATAGGGATGTGTGTGAGTGGTTGGTTAGCATGAAGTGGGCGAGAAAATGTGTGTGAAAGACTGTGTGTCTAAAAACATAAGCCTGTCTGCTCGACTGAGGACTGTAACAGACAACTGGCAGCCTGTGCAGCTGATAAACTGCAGGGATTAGCGAGCACTTCTGGAGCCCAAGTGGCCCTATCAATACGGGACCGGGTCCATTGATCTGTTGTCTGGCCGGGTGCTGGGGCTAATTCCTGGACCTTGGCTCTGAGTGGCCGTCACTTGGGAGGTGGGAGGAAGGCAGAGGTGGGGGAGAGACTGGCTGGCTACCAGTGGCGCCATCAACACACCCTACTGGATTTTAGGGCTCAATGCTGACCGTATAGCAATCCAATAACTCCGTTACCACAGCATGGCGAGTTGAGGCGAAGCAGCCCCGCTCTAACACATACGATGTATCTGTAAAATGGTTACTGTATGGTTTATTTTGACTTATCACAAGAGGAATAGAGCATTTTAATGAAAAAAGATCATAGGTACACATTGCTGTAAAGACGTTGACCACCAAAATTTAAATTTCCATTTGTGTCATGATGCTTTAGTAGTCCTGCAAAATACATTTCTGATTAAACGTTTTTTGAGATTTGAATGATCCCTGAAGTTTGAACCTTTGTCAGTATATCAACAAACCATATTCAATAATATCTATGAAAAGTTTCAAGAGATGTGTAACTGCTCAGCTTACATTAAATGTATTAAAACATACCAACATATGTTGTCATTTATAAAATATATTCAAATGAAGAGTGTATTTCTCAGCAGTTAAAGGTTAATTTCAGGCTTCTTCCTTTCCGGTCGGCTCATAGGTCCACGGGAAGAACGAAGAAATTAATTCAAGTCAACGCGGCTAAAATGCCTATTTTCGAATCCGCTTTGCTTTATGCCCTGGATCACACATATGTTATGATTCAATTTAATTGAAGAGTAATGATGTGTGTTTCAGCTACGCCTGTCATGTACTTTGAGAATTATCAGCTACAAACTACATATCACCACGTCACCACATAATCTCCTCCCCCCCTAGCGTAGCTGCTACTTACCACATGGCCAGATTTATGGTAGTTTTTTCCTTTTGAAGGAAGGATTTGAAGTTCGCTAAACTTGCAGCCATTTACCTCTGTTTTTCTCCATCTCTGGTTCGAGGACATTTCATTTCATTTCATTTATAAAGCACCTTCCACTACCTCAGCAGAAGCCCAAGGTGCTGAACACAGACACAAACATTTGATAAACAACATTTGACAAAAAACTGCATCCAATAAGAACAACAATAAAAAGACACTAAACGTAGTAAAACAGAATAATAAAAACATCAAAGGGAGGATTAAAAAGCCTCAAAAGAAAGAATTTTTGTGAAATGTTGCAGATCCCAATGCTGAAAAGGTTTGAACATAATAGTGTGTTTTCACGTTGACTTAAAAACCTGCAATGATGGCGCCTGTCTAATATTCAAAGGTAGTTCATTCCAGAGCATAGGTGCCAAATCAGCAAATGCACGATCTCCTTGTGATCTACACCTAGCACAAGGAACAACCAACACGTCACGCTCAGCTGAGCAAAGTGCGTGAAGGGACGTATCTTTGTTTTAATGCTGACAGGTTAAAAGGTGCAGCTCCATGTGCAAACCTGTAAGCAAGAGTAAGAACTTTAAACTGAACTCTAAACTTTACCGGCAACCAGTGAAGGGCTGACAGCACTGGCGTAATGTGTTCCCTGCCCCTTGTGCCCGTAAGGAACCTGGCCGCTGAAATCTGAACCAGCTGAAGACGTGAAGCTGCATTCTGGCACAGACTGGCTTACAAAGCGTTACAGTAATCAATCCTAGAAAGGACAAAAGCATGAAGGACGGCATGAACGTGGTCACAGCACAGCACAGACTTAATCCGAGCTAAGCTAAACTAAGCTAATCACTTTGGTGATGCGCATTTGTAGTCCTGGATACCACACAAAACCTACAATAAAGTTTTCCCCCATTCAAAAACAAGCGCGTTCTTGGTATCAAAATGAGTCTTTAAATTCCACGAACATCATATGTGAAATCCATGGCACATAAAAAGCAGAATTAGAAAATAACGTTTTTAGCCCCATTGACGTGCATTCATTTTTTCGTTCTTCCGAGGACCCATGGTCCAGAAGTAGGTGGGCGAGACTTAGGCTCCCTATAGAAAGACTATTCTTAATTGACATATTGGTCATCAGATCTTCATAATTGAAAATGTCTTTCAGAGGCCGTGTTTCAACAGGAATCAGGTTATGATGCATGGAATGAGGTTTCCCACTTGGCTAGAGAAAACATATTTGGTAACACTTTATAATAAGTGCACACTATTAAGCATTAGTTAATCATCAGTAAAGCAATGGCTAATGGTTATTTAATCATTTGTAAAGCATCTGCAAAAAGATTATCATAATTACTTAACAGCTTACAAGCACCACTATTAAGGCTTTATTCATGATGAAGAAGCTACCGTGTCACACTTTTTATTCATGATGTTTCATGATCTATAAGTCATTGATTAATCATTTATAAACTCTGCTCTCCATCATTTACAAACCAGTCCTTTCATGATGTAAAACAGTATACAATCCCACTGGTAAAGGGTAAGTAAATAGTTAACATACCCTATTTAATACTATAAACTAAACATTTACTACACATACTAGAGTCTCACTAGATGTTTTCTAAACACTGAATCTCACGACTACATCAGTCAGCTACTAAATGTTAACAGATGTCTTACAATACATTTACAATTGTCACTTGACGGCTTCCAAAGATGCAGCTCCCTACCGACCCACTTCTTTTTAAATAGATAATCTATCAGTTATTATAAATACATTAATAAACTACTTTAGAACGTTACAAACCATTTACTACTTCTTAGTTAAGTATTTTGAGTGAGCTCATCTAAAGTGGAGACTATATATACCTTACAACCTATTAATAAATGTGAAAGTTTTTCAAAATACATTGTAATAAAAAATAAAGGACAACACAGATACAGAAAGCACTTTATTTTTAAGATGCCAATTATAAAACATCAAAACAATGCTTACAAATATTGACACACAACTGTCAAAACAAACATTGTGCTGAACCACTATTAGCCAGTATTTGAAGTAAAGAACAAGGCTCGATGCACTTTTATGAATTGTATGTTTTTACATGAAATGCTCAAATATTTTCAAAAGGTGAAAAAAAAACCTGCAGTTGCAACAGTAACTTTTTTATCTGTATTTTTTTTAAAATGTCATATATCAGTCTCCCTAAAGCACCCTGTTTGTGCTTTTTTGCAAGCCATTCGTTCCACTCAATAACTGTAAGGTGTTCTGATAGTAGGCTGTCATTTCTGTTACCCCGGAGTCTCCAAATTCTCTCCTTGTAAGACCTCCAGGCTCTCTGCAGATGTTGGGTATAGGCACCTGTTAGAGGGTCCACATACCATCTGCTGTGGTTAACAGTATAATGTCCACAACCTACGTTTGGGAGAATGCGATAGGCCCGCCATTCATCACTTATCACCAAGGAACCAATCCTGACATGAAGAGTGATCAGAGGAACAAGATGTCTTTGAGATTTTTTCTCCACAAGACGCAAGATAGGCCTTGTTCTACGCTGATTTTTTTATGCCCAGCATTCCGAACACCCACTTTCTTCTTTTCCAGCCCCCTGCCATTCTTCCTCTCCCATACTGATGCAGAAAGAAAACAATTAAGACAAATGGCAAAAAAGTGCTGTGAAAGGTTGTCATATAGATGTAATATATAATTTCTATTACAAAACTTACCTTTCATTTGCGATGAAAATGACTCTCATCGATCACAACAAACTCCCTTCGGCCACCAATCTACTGACCTGTACGACATCTCATTCTTTGAACTGCAGCCACACATACCCTCCTTAATTTTTTGGACATTTTACTAAGTGTTGTCGTACTGCTTGCAATGGTGTCATCCATCATGTCAATTTGACGTAATCTGAGATCCTGAGAGAATCTTCAGGGAGAAAAATAACATCCTTACAAAGAGTCATTTAAATTTAGTTCCTTTTTGTGTAGTGTTTATGCTTACCTGTAGATAGATTGCATCCAGTGTTGAAGTGAGACTTTCGAACGGCTGAAAAGGGACTTGTGTCTGACAGAGATTTGTTTAACGCGTCCACCATGTGCTGCTCCTCGACAGATCCTATTTAAAAATTGTAACATGAAAAAATGTATGTATCATTATACGCAGTGAGTTACTTAAGTAAGAAAAAAGCATTTTGTATTTAGGGGTGGAACATCCCTTTCAAGAGATGTCCCTGTTTGCTCTGTTTCAATGAGGATTTAGGTATAAAACCAAATAATAACAATGACGTTTACAGTAAGTACCCCGGTTATTATGGCGTCCTACAAAAATAAAAAATGCATTTCTTACCAGGCATATTGGTCTCCGTTGTTCACCCTTTTCTTCAGTTTTGTTTCCTGGTGGCATACTTTGCATTTCATTTTTCTTTTAAGCAGTTTAATCTTCTGAAGATGTTTTATAAGCTTCAGTGGGCCTCTTCTAGAAAGCTCCTCGTTAATTAATTTTTTCAGTCGTGTAAAATTTCCCATTTTTGGCCAAAATATCATTTAATGAGTTTCCAGTTATGCTAGCTCTGAGCTGTAATGTCGCTTCTGGCCAGAGAAAGCCGCGCATTTGCTGCTTCCGTCTTCCGACGTGACCAATAGGAGACCGCGATGCTGTGCCCTTTCACCTCTAGGGCATAACCAAGGTGGAGTAATGGCTTCCTCTAGCACTGTGAACATGACGAGCCCTGGTCGATCTACAATAGGCAGGCGAACGAGGGCAAAAAAGGGAAGTAACGACGTGGACAAGGTGGATGTCAGTGTTACAAGTGGTGAGTGTTTTGCACTTTATTGTGTTTGGTTATTTTGTTGGAAAAAACTACCATCACGGGGCTAGGCGCTAACCGCTAATAAGCGGTTAGCTTAGCTTTTAGCTTACATTCAAGCTCCACAAAAGCAATGTGCAGTGTATGTTACTAGTTATTTTTGTGACCCAGTTAAAGGAATAATTAAGGATTATTGCTTTTGGAATATCTCTGGGCTGCTATTAGTGTACTTTCTGCAATTTAGTTTGTCATTCTGTAGCTTTTTTGATGCATGTCTATGCAATATAAATATGCAATAAATGCTCTACATTATACAGTCTAATACAATATATTTGAAATACATTAATATATAATTATTGTCAAGTAAGCAAGTTTCTAAAAACAACTTAATATAATTTGTAATTTTACCACAGCAGGCTATGTATTAATCATTGCAATGATTTTACTGTTATTCATATTTTACAAACTGTATTATGATTGCATTTTCTGCAGTTGTTGTTTAATCAGTTGTTAGTTGTATTAATAGCCTAATTTCTTTTTGTTTTCAATTTTCTCTAGGTGTGACTATTGCTCCAACTGCACAGCTGACAGACAGAAGACGATCACAAGAGGTGGAGATCTGTAAGATGAAGCTAGAGTGGCAAAAGGATTAGATTGATGAGCTCACCAAAGAAAGAGACTATCTAAAGGAGCAATTAGTAGCATGTAAGTCCACTATTAAAAACATTACATAGCATGACAAATACTTTATTTGCTTTAGCATTTACTTAAGCATTCTGTTCTGTAACTTTGTCTGTGTTGTCTGTTTAACTGTTTTACTAGGTCTCACAAAAGAACCCACAAGGTCTGTCCAGCATCCCAGTGACGTACTGAGCATGTCTTCGCTTTCCTCTGACGGGTCATTTGATAAGGGTTCTGACTCCTCCACGAGCACAACTTCATCAGATGAAGACAGTCAGAAGAGGAAGAAGAAAGGCAAAGCCAAAAAGAATAAGAAGTCAAAGAAACATGACCAAATTGCAAGAACAAGAGGTAAAGTGATTAAATCTTTCTATAATTTGATCCTACATGCTGTATTGTACTGCTGTTCTTCTGAGTTGGTTATGTTATTTAACCCTTCTAGTGTCCCTAGAGACTTATGTGTGACTAAAATTAAATAATCTTTCATAAATTCCAGTTTTTAGATTGCTTTCATCCTTAGCTTGAAAACTCATAAATGTAATAAAGTAGAGCTGGCATGTCTGTTCTCACGGTGCGGGGGCTCTTTCCGACGCCCATACAGTATAAAAATGCAAATGACGACTTTAGTCGTCATTGGCAGTTAATGAGTAAATTTAGAAATATGTGTGTTATATCCCTACACTATTACATAAAATTAATAATCTCAATATAACACATTTGTTCTCTAAATTGCAGCCCAGAATCCCAAACAAGTGGTCCCCCGGTATGAGAGGATTTTGAGGCTGTTCAAAAGAGGAGGGACCATGTCAGCTGCCTTTAAACGTCTGGGAGTGGACCGGAACACAATTGTGGCAACTGCTCCAATTGCTGAGCTTTTCATTGTCGCACCTGATAGGTATAAAGAATTAGAAAAAAACAAACAGGGTAAGAAACTGTCATTGTTTGCAACACAGTGTGCTGCAGCAATCAGTGCAGATCCAGAAATAGAGGACAAACGTGAGTCCTATAAGTCTTCTGGGAAGTTGCTTCCTCTTAAAAAAAAAGACTAGATTTTAGTGGTTTTTTTACATTGTGAAATGTGGTGATAGGTCACCATTGTTAACTGCAAAAAGGGCCAGATTTAGTTATGTAGTCCAGTTGATTGGCAGATTTGTGTGATAAAAAAAGACACTCTATTTTTGGTTTGCATGACTTTTATTATTTTTTTACTGTTAGATTATATGTTTATTTTAAAGATCACACATGTGATACATTTCATGTAAAAACATACAATTCATAAAAGTGCATCGAGCCTTGTTCTTTACTTCAAATACTGGCTAATAGTGGTTCAGCACAATGTTTGTTTTGACAGTTGTGTGTCAATATTTGTAAGCATTGTTTTGATGTTTTATAATTGGCATCTTAAAAATAAAGTGCTTTCTGTATCTGTGTTGTCCTTTATTTTTTATTACAATGTATTTTGAAAAACTTTCACATTTATTAATAGGTTGTAAGGTATATATAGTCTCCACTTTAGATGAGCTCACTCAAAATACTTAACTAAGAAGTAGTAAATGGTTTGTAACGTTCTAAAGTAGTTTATTAATGTATTTATAATAACTGATAGATTATCTATTTAAAAAGAAGTGGGTCGGTAGGGAGCTGCATCTTTGGAAGCCGTCAAGTGACAATTGTAAATGTATTGTAAGACATCTGTTAACATTTAGTAGCTGACTGATGTAGTCGTGAGATTCAGTGTTTAGAAAACATCTAGTGAGACTCTAGTATGTGTAGTAAATGTTTAGTTTATAGTATTAAATAGGGTATGTTAACTATTTACTTACCCTTTACCAGTGGGATTGTATACTGTTTTACATCATGAAAGGACTGGTTTGTAAATGATGGAGAGCAGAGTTTATAAATGATTAATAAATGACTTATAGATCATGAAACATCATGAATAAAAGTGTGACACAGTAGCTTCTTCATCATGAATAAAGCCTTAATAGTGGTGCTTGTAAGCTGTTAAGTAATTATGATAATCTTTTTGCAGATGCTTTACAAATGATTAAATAACCATTAGCCAATGCTTTACTGATGATTAACTAATGCTTAATAGTGTGCACTTATTATAAAGTGTTACCAACATATTTATAGACGTGTTTGAAAGATTTTATACTGTACTGCAGGTTTTTTGTTGTTTATGCAAGAATAAGAATTATTCTGTTTATAACTTTTATGGACAGGATTTCTAGGTGCAGCCAAGGTGTTGAGGGGATCTGTTGAGGATCAAGTCTCTGCTTTTTGCTGATGATGTGGTCCTGTTGGCTTCATCAGAACTTATTCTCCAGTTTTTGCTGGAGCAGTTTGCAGCCAAGTTTTAATCCACTGGAATAGGAATCAGCTCCTTTTAACCAGAGACCATGGTCTTAAATTGGGAAAGGGTGGAATGCCTTCTCCAGGTCTGGGGCAAGGTCCTGCCTCAAATGGAAGAGTTTAAGTATCGCGGGATCTTGTTTACGAGTGAGAGAAAGCTGGAGCATGAGATCGATTGGCGGATTGGTGCTGCGTCTGCAGTGATGCGGGCGTTGTACCGGTCTGTTGTGGTGAAGAGTGAGCTGAGCCACAAGACAAAGCTCTTGATTTACTCACATCAAGAGGAAACAATTGAGGTGGCTTGGGCATCTGGTCAGGATGTCTCCCTGGTGAGGTTTTCTGGGCACGTCCAACTGGAAGGAGGCCCAAGGGAAGACCCAGGACATGCTGGAGGGACTATGTCTCTCGGCTGGCCAGGGGATTCCCCCAGAAGAGCTGACCCAAGTAGCAGGGGAGAGGGAAGTCTGGGCGTCTCGACTTAGGCTACTGCCCCCACGACCCAACTCTGGATAAGTGAATGAAAATGGATGGATGGATGAAAAAAGGGGAACATGTTTGCAAGTAAGAAAATAAAGATTTTGTACGGATAGCGATTCCTTTTTTGAGCCAGCATCTTTAATAAGCAGCATGTTTTGTAGTTTAGCTGACCTGAGGCTGTTGTTTTAGCCACATGAAAACAACAATCCTCCAATGCTGCTGATATTGTCAACCACAAGCAATCGCACATAAATCTGATGGTTATACCCCACAGCGATAAAATGTGGTAAACCTTTAGAGCTAAATAAACTCTGTTGAGAGTTATGGAATGCTGCTCATTTTCTCTGTGGAAGAGGAGAAATGCTGAGGAATGAATAATTGACTCTGTGTAATACTCCCACCCCATTTGCTATTGGAGAAGTCAGAAGCACTTACTGCTTAATATTTCATGACTTAAAATGACTGTCTGATTGTCTGATTGAGTGACAGTTTCATTCTACTGCAGACGTACCTGAGACAATTCAGCTCAGACGCTGCATCGTGAAGGGAATTGATTCACCTACAGAGGAAATTGTTATTCCAAGGAAGGAAGGATGTTTTATGGTTTTAATATTAATGCCATGAATTTTTATTATTTTTTTCCAGGCTCTAATATGAATTGGCATCCAACGCAGGAGATACCATGGCTCTCACTCAGTGGCTGATGGCATTCTTACCCCTACTTATGTTTATGTTTATGTATTTAGCAGACGCATTTGTCCAAAGCGACTTACAAGTGATAATCGGCATGTTGCCCTTGAGGCTAACAACAACAATAACAACAACTTGACATCAGTCACGGAGAGGAGGGAACAAGGAGTGGGCGGTAAAGAGGGGGGACAGGTGCAGGGAAGGTGCTAGTTAAGAAGATGCTCTGAAGAGCAGGGTCTTCAGGAGTTTCTTGAAAATTGGAAAGGAAGCCACAGTTCTGGTAGTGCTTGGAAGGTCATTCCACATTTGTGGAATGATGCATGAGAAGAGTCTGGATTGTCCTGAGCGTGGTGTAGGCACTGCTAGCCGACGATCCTGTGATGACGTGAGCGGCCGGGCCGAGACGTAAGCTTTTGCAAGAGGATTC